TGATGTGTAATGATGGATAGTGATGGGTAGTGATGGATAGTGATGGATAGTGATGTATAATGATGGGTAGTGATGTGTAGTGATGTGTAGTGATGGGTAGTGATGTGTAGTGATGGGTAGTGATGTGTAGTGATGGATAGTGATGGGTAGTGATGGACAGTGATGTGTAGTGATGGACAGTGATGGGTAGTGATGTGTAATGATGGATAGTGATGGGTAATGATGGATAGTGATGGATAGTGATGTGCAATGATGGGTAGTGATCTGTAGTAATATGTAGTGATGGATAGTGATGGGTAGTGATGTGTAATGATGGATAGTGATGGGTAGTGATGGATAGTGATGGATAGTGATGTATAATGATGGGTAGTGATGTGTAGTGATGTGTAATGATGGGTAGTGATGTGTAGTGATGGACAGTGCTAGATGGTGATGAATAGTGATGCATAGTTATGTTGAGTGACACATAGTTACATGTTACATGAAGATATTTTAAGCGGATTTTTTATATTCGTGTAGGAGAACACGGATTTATTACCAGAATCGTGGCGACTTTCACTGTATGCAAATTTCAGGGTGGAAAAACGTTCTGCGCAAGATTCTGCCCATCCCTTATCGCAGGCTCACGGCGGGCTTTTCTGTGTGTTGACTGGCCGCGTCGACATGTCCTTTGTTTGTCAAATGCACGAGGTGCGAACGTTTGCTCCTTGTAGAGGTCTGTAGAGCCTTTTTCTTCGTTTTTTTGTTGTTGTTCTTGTTGTTTTTCGTCACTTGAAAATTACTTTGGATTCAGAACAACCAATGTTAAAGAAAGAACGGATCGTTCCGTCAGTCTGAGGTGGAATAAACGTTTTCAACATTTTCAAAGAGGCGAATATTTTTCTGTTAATTGTGCATTCGAGTTGTAAGTTGATTTTGTGTCCAGTGCTTCGCCTTCCATCGCCGGGCTGAATTAAAACCCGCTTGTATCCCGTTATTAGTAGCTACGGTTACTTTTTTTACATGCCCAGATTTTTTGATTTACTTTCACGTTGCAGAACCAGCTTTATCCCTGTCTTCAGTCAAAGAACCATATTGCTAACGCATGCGAGTGAACTGAAACTTGTGCGCTTAAAGCTTTCTCTGAAATAGAAGGCTAGCAAGCTTACTCGAGAAGAAAAGAGTACTTCGATCCTTTTTCTGTTGCTCAAGTAATAATAGTGAGAGGTTTCCTTTTTTTTTTTTCATGTTTTATTTTAATTAATAGTTTTGTTTTCTTTCTGTACGCAAATTTTCCTTTTCACTCGCTGTGAAGTAGAGAAAGACAACTGCCGGCAGTGACTACAAAACAATTGTTTGCAAAACAAACCCTTATGTGCAGTTTTCTGTTCTTTCTAATGATTTAGTGAGTTTAATTTGCTTGAATGAAGACCCTCGCATGGACCAGTTATTAAAATGGTTAAATGGTGAATCATAGCTTGGCTGCGAAGCTTGCAACTGATCTTTTGCTTTTAAGATCTATAGGTAGGTTGTTTTCGTACAGAAAATTCATTTCTTCATTCTCATTGTAAGCCAAGAGCTTCTAGCCTTATGTTTTTTTAATGATAATTTGTTGTTTTGCAACCTTGTTGAACACGATTGAAGTTTTTTTTTACGGGGTTCACTTAAGCTGAATTTTGTGCATGATGGAATTGTTCTTTGCTTGTCTCATCTCTTTGCGAGCTTAAAGTAGCGTCTATGGTCCTTAAAGTAACCTCAGTCCAGTAATTAAATCATATACATAACTGAAAAGGCGTTTTTACAATAATGTAACTTTAACTTTGTTTGAAGGAAATCTTACTTACGCATAGCTAGGTTTTTGACAGGTGCGATGCATGTTCTGCATGTTCAACTTGACATCACGACAAAGCAAAATTTATCTGCTTGAAACGATCAAGTTTAAAAAACTATAGTTGCTTTGAAACCGATTTTTGAGAAGATTTTACTAGATAAAGATTGACCTTTTTCTGCCCACATATCAGCGCAATAACTTCTATATTGAGGATTTTGTTTATATTTTAGTGATCTGCGAAGCTACGAGCGTCCGATCGAGCGTGGGTTTTAAAATATCAGCTCGAGTGCGACAAAATTAAGTGACTTCAAACACATTGTGGGAAAGCGTCAATTTTTTTGGGCATATCACTTTATAAAGATATGTTGTTTTTGTGTCCACAGTGGAGCTCTGGACCTTATATATCCAGGAACTTCCTTATATGTAGACATTTTGTGAATGCATCTTGAAAAAAATCGGACCTATGCGCATGCACATTTCCAGTACAACGCAAGGAAATTAATGTCGTTAAAGTTCGTTTTACTGTGAGGTATTCTAAGCTTCGAGAAAATTAAGTAATGAGAAGGTTAACTTTGGAAGACAAATTGCTTGTTCTTTCCAGGTTATGAGTTGAAACATTTCATTTTTAGGCAAAAAAATATTTGAAATCCCTGCCATTTTTTCAAACCCGGCCAGGGGATCTGGGCAAAAACGTTCACGCATGCTCACTGCGTTTTTCCGCCCTGAATATGCAAATGAGTCTCGTGATGAGCATGCGGCATATTTTCGGCGAGGACTGAAATAAAGCATGTAAGTTTTGCAATGATGTAATTTTCCTCGAATGGAGGCCCTTGATTTTCGTGTAATTATGCACGACATGCAGGCACTGATTAAAAAGGAAATATCCCCAAGTAGGGAAAATGTATTTACATTCGGCGGAGCTAAACGTAGGGGCAGTGACAGAGAATGTAAATACTTTCCTATTGGTAGGAACGCACGTGAGCCGCTATGTCGTTAATTGACTCTATTGTTATTAGGTATATAAGGTTTTGACAGTTGTAATGTATTCATTTCAGCTCTCGAACTATCAACTTTTATTTTTATATCTTACTTTATTCATCTATCGATTGATTTTTTACCCTTAACCCCCAGAGGTTGTGCGACCGAATCGGTTGGGAAAAACGTTCCCAATTTTTTCCCATTGGGTTTTTAGGTTTTCGTATCAGGCGGCGCACCTGAATAGTTTAGCCTGAGTGACTTTATTTAGGAATATTTGTATACCATTCTTTAGTTATGATGTTGAACTTTGTATGTTATTTGGACAGCATTAAACACTCAGGCTCCATAGTTCGAGCTGCACACCCATTCCCGTCTCTTAGTCGTGAATGTAAATAGGAAGAAAGTATAATAGCGGGGAAATCCTATTTTGTGGAGTTTTAACGCGTTACGTTTCTCAGAATATTGTCGCAATTGCTGGAAATCTAAGGTTAAATAGATTCACTTTGTTTTATCTATTTAATTGATAGATTTTCGCAGTTGTTAAGACATGAAGTCGTGTTGCACTTTATAAATACTTGACATATCAAGTATCCACTGTCACGTATCTTTTACGTGCGTACGTGCGTAAAATTTGCGTTCGCAAATAAAATAGAGGCGATGTATGGAAGGCCGCACGTACAATTATGTAATGCACCTATCAATGTAAATCCCGTGAGGGGGGAGTGCGGGCAAGGGGAGGGGATTTGATGCCTGAGACTATCCCCCTGTTGGGCTTTTGATCGTGTGAAGCGACCCCGGGGTCGGGACATTTGACTTTGACCGACAGAAGCCTGGTATCAATTCAGAAGCGGTTACCAGGTCCGTCCCTCGAGACTTTCTGAAAGTCACGCTGTTGGAGAAAGGTATGAAGTTTTCATTTGTTTTAATCGCCATAATCCGATACTTCACACTGTCATCTAAACAGATAATGTCTATTTTGAGAAAGTTTTTATCTTCAAGTTCCCATCTGATTGTAAACCTCGATTGAAATCGAATTTTACCATGAAAGTCAGAGGATTTTTTACGGGCACTGATCCGACCTGTTCCCACATGTTGAGCAGATGTTATAAAGCATTTTACGTTTCTTTAAGAGGCTGTCTACAAGAAAACCATGCAAAACCATGCAGAAGGTGCTACAGGCTAGATCACAGAATTGGCTTATCTTCTGTGAGTAAGTATACTTGGGTGTACTATTTTCAAATATGGTATGATTGGGGTCCAAGCGCCTTTCCTTTGTGTATACGAAGGGGGGTCCCCTCGGGAGACCATTTTTACTGTTATACAAGGTCGAAATTTCCTGAAGTTTAGATGCCTTAATAACCAATAATTTACGACGTGAGTGAAAAATGAGTAGCCGGCGGTCGAACTGAATGATTTAACTTCGACTAGACGTATAAACCAGAAAGATTGAGACTTCTTACTTCTCGTGACCGTGTACTAACCGAAGGGCAGTTGAACGCTTTTCTAGAAGCTAGAAAAAATATTGCACTTTTGAAATTATTTCTAAAATTTCTCGCAAACCTTACAATAAATCTAATATGGGTTATGTTAAGAGAATAAGTTGGATTTTTGTTTTACGCTTTCAAAAATCTGGGTATTGTGAAATTATGGACAAGCCAGCCTCGGAACTATGACAAACTATGAATATTTTCCCGCTCGTAGAACAATCAAAAGTAACTTTCATTCCCAAAAAGCTATTTCTTTTGCTTGAAGGATGGAAAATATCTTTTTCGAACGTCTTCATACGTCTTATAATGCGATAGAAACTACGTCTTACAAACATGTGTGCATTTGTTTACCACCATCTTTGTTTCGAGCCCGTGAACCAAGTCTGCGGTTTTACCCTATGTAGATTGCTTTGGCGGGAGTTCGGGAAAGCGCGAACGTTCAGGGCCCAGTTGTTCGAAGGCCGATTAGCGCTAACCCAGGGTTAAATTTTAACCCGAGCCTCTTTTTCTTTTCATCAAGAGCATTTTCATGGACAATTTTCTCTATTCTTTTTAGAGTAGGCAACCATCAAATTGTTGACAAAAAGAATTAAACTGAATTTGCTTTTTAAACTTTCATATCTGAATTCAAATTTTGAACTAACCGTGAGTTATCTTAACCCAGCTTTGAACAACTCGGCCCAGTACAGCTGTAAAAACATGTGAATTCATGTACGAATTCTTTTATGGTTGCAAGTCTAACTTGCTCGTTTTCGAAACACTCGTCGATACCATGTGGCGATTCGAAGCACTATCGTAACATCAAAGAGTACGTACCACTCCGTAGTTGCAGGAGAGATATAACCAGTCACCTTCAACGCTTGAAAACATCTCAAGCAAACATCAAAGGTGAATGGCAGCTGATACTTTTGAGAGCTGGGTTATTTGATGAAGATGGTGAGACGCTCACAATCTGTCCCCTGCACAGAGATATTTTTGGTACTATCTGGAATTCAAGTAGACCAGTTGCAAAATGCCATCATCCACTTCATGGCCGAAGCAGGGCTAAGCCTGAAAGAGGGATTTCGTTGGAAATTTCAAAAGAAATTCAAGTTTACTGGGGAGTTCTCGTGCCCATTGGATCAGGTATTTGTGAACTGTGTGGTTTACTCAGTTTCCCTCTTTCTTCTTTCTTTCTTTCCTTCTTGTTCCAATACTTACTCATTCTGTTCTTTAAATTCTAGGTATATGCATCAGGCGCAGAAAATTACATTTAGAAGAAAGAGGGAAAAGAGAAACACAAATACTTCAGGTGAGTATATATTAACCTCAAAAGTGGTTCCGTTGGTCACACAATTTTTTTGTTTATTTGGAAATTTAGCAGCAAAGTCTGAATTATGAGGAACCAACTAAAGTCGCTGTGGTTACTAGAGCAGTTCGATCTCATGGTGTCTTACCCTTATTTTTTACAAGAAAATCAGGCAGTTAGAGCCGAAGAAAGTATTGCATTATAATATTATTTATATCGCTCAGAGTTCTGCCTAGGATCCCTCTCATCAATCCACTCATTCTTTCATTTCTTCAATTCTTCACTCGCCCACTTTATCGCTGAATCACTTTTTTTTTTCATCCATTCATTCTCCTGTATGTGCGTTCGTCTGTTCGTTCGTTCGTTCATTCCTTAATTCCTTTCCTTCGTTTGAACTTCATTCAATAAGTCCCTATTTGTAATATTTTACATTTACCAGGTGACATCCGAACACACAGGCGATGTTGAGAATCCTCCTTATGGCGATCTTAAAAACCATGTGGTAAGTTTCCGGCTTTCAAGGACGCTTCCCTTACAATCCGTTGAACGGTATTTGGATATTGCTGATCCTTTTATAAAAACTAAATTATGGTTTAAAATTCTCCACGCACATTTACAGTCATCTACCATGGATAATATTTTCCTTATTTCAATGAATTTTCGAATACCTCTCTTGAAATCATTTATTTTTCCCCCTTTTTTTCCTTCTATTCTTTTTCTTCTATTTTCAAATGGAGTTTATTTCGAAGTTCCTCTAGCAGTAATGTAAATAACTGAATGAAAATAAACATTAACTCTTATTATCATTTAATTACGTCTTCAGGAACAGGCGGCTCCTTTGGATTCAAACCCTACCACTGAATTAGGCGACTTCATAAACGTTAGAGAAAATCGTCTTGTGGATGAGTGTCCGGTATGTTTATTTTTACTCATGCATTGATTTAACACTTAACATAAACGACAGATTAGTTTACAGATATTAATAATCTGCATTGCTCTTTATTTTTCTAAGCTCAATGTAATGAACATGAAGTGAGCATTGGTAGTCCTCTAGATGAGTCATTGCCAGAAGAAGACATTTCATATGAATGGTGTTCTACTCCATGTGTGAAATCGGGACTGAAAGCGGTGAATGAGTTTATCCGCTCAGCTCCTTGTGCTCGTGGTAGGATAGATCCAGTGGTTCGTCAGTTGAGTATACCTTGGAAGGAAGCTGCACCAAGCACACAGAGATATTACAGACAGAAGGGGAAAGAGATCATTGAAGTGGCTCTGGATTGCCTTGCTCCAGGGCAAGCCATAGAATTACTTTCAGAGTTGATGAAACATATGGAGAAAAAAGAGAAGCAAAATAGTGTAGATACTGATGTTAGCGAAATATCGCGCCTGATTAAATTGTACGAAGAGGCCAACAGTTGGTTTACTAAAAGGCAAATCCTGTCAGTATTTGTAAACGATTACTCTAAAGCACAACTTCAGCTGCTTATTCCTGGAGTAAGCATTTGGGCGATAGATGAGGCAAGAAGGCATGCCGCTAAGGTGGGGGTGGGTAAACCAGTGCCACAGATGGAAGCCATTACACGCGCAAGACTGGATCCAAGCAAAGTAGACCATTTTCTAGATTTTATCAGCAGACCAAATTTCGTGCAAGATGTTGCGTACGGAACAAAAACGCTAAAATTGTCGAATGGGGAGAAGATGGAGATTCCAAACGTGGTTAGGACAGTTATTGCTTCAAGGATTGTGGACTTATACCAGCAGTACTGTCAGGAAACCGGTTTCCTTTCACATGGGAGGTCAACCCTCTTCAGTATTTTACAGGTACGTATCAAAACAAAATCATGATTCAAAATCAGAAGAAGAGCGAAAAAAGAAATAAAAATTGGGGTTTTATATATTCTGTTATCTCATGTAGATATCACGAAGATATCATTATATGCATTGTGTCATGTTTCTTAGTTTAAACTACTTCTTCAGCTTGATTAACTGAAAATTCCTTAAGCCATGCATATAGGTGGGGATTAGAAAAGAGCAAACGCTCTGGATGAGAAAAGCAGTAAGTATGAACACGAGGAGAAAAATATAACAAAATGTCATTATTGTATAGATTTGTGCAGCATCACAAAAGAAGTCTTTGGCAGGACTTGACAACATCGCTGCAGAGGGATCGCAAGCCTTCGATACACTTGAAGACGTTGTAAACAGGCTAGGAAAGTTAGGTAAGCTCAGGTTGATTTAAGTTTTGTCCCAGGGTGACCTGAATCTTCCCATTTTGTTTCTATATAATGCTATTTTTCAGTGCACCTTTAACACTCAAACCACCCAACCTCCTAGGCCAATTTAATTTTTAAACTTCTTATTTCTTCTTTAAGGTTTGTCGAAACCATTTTTGTAAAAAGCATATATTTTATACTGTGCAATTTGAACAAAGGCCTGGCCTCTTAACGCAATTTAGCATATGAGCGGCTTTATCTTAAATAGTAGTAATTAAAAAAAAGAGTGGTAACATTAGCGTGCCTTTTTAAAGGTAAAAGTTCAGCCTGGGTTCAAGGTGTTAAAGATCGCTTGAAAGCTGGTAAAAGCTACCTTAAGACAAACTTCAAGATCCGCGTTTCTGAAGAAAGCCAGTGTGCTGATCATTGCCGGGTATTTGCGTTGTCTGACCCTGAAGATCATCTCTGTGAGCATGAACACACGAAATCATGTCAAAGCTGCGACAATATCAAGAATGTTCTTGAGGAAATAGAACTGGTATTGTCATCAAGAGACCTTCACTTCAGGTAAACGATAACTGATACCATGTTCTATAGTCTTCTTCTTTCAAAGCCAAAAACCTAAACGTTCTTGCAGTCAAAACCAAAGAAAGAAGACCGATTTCTCCCCTAACAGATTTTATATTGTTCAGTTTATTGTTGATCGTTTCATTTTACACATGCAAAAGAAATTCTTCACAGGATATTACGAGAAGATATATATTGTAATTTTACCTGATCATGAAGAGTAAGTTTTCTATTTGTCATATCTTAATCACCCTTTTTGCAATTGGAAATGGGTGGCTCAGGTGACTGAAATCTACAGTCGTTTAACTTCGGAAACAATGCCGCGTTTACTTCATTAAACAAAGGATCAGGAAAAATATACCGTGCAAAGACAAGCAAATGATGTCGCCCTAAAACGTCAAGAAATTATAATTACACCTTTGATAACAAGGAAACCATCAACGTTTTTATTTTGATTTTTAGATATCAAGACGAAAAGGGGGAACTAGAGCATGACATTAGTAACGCTATAGACAAGATTGAGCGATGGAAGGCCCACATCTTAAGAGCAGTACACCAGGACGTAGCAAAGGATGATATCCTCAACAATATGACGCCAGAGCAAGCTTTAATTATCATGGATTGGGCTATGAAATTCCTTCCGTTGAAGTATAGGGAAACGCAAGGAGAGTGGTTTGGAAAGAAAGGCCTCTCTTGGCATGTCACAGCCGTGATAACAAAACCGAAGGAAGAGTTTGAGGTATTTTCTACAGGCATATCCTACATCTGACTATGGACATATCCAAAACGGTGCATGATGCTTTGTCTGTCGATCTCTGTATGTACTACGCCGCTCAGTCGGATTATGCGCAAATCCTTGTTTGACAACATGGAACTACACTTATACGAAACGTAGGAATTGCATGCCCAAATTTTATCTTTTAAAAGGACACCTGTAGGGATCTCTTCTCGCAAGAGATCCCTGTTTGTTGACACTGTGTTGATTCTCGTGAGCGACCGTTTACAGGAGGTTTGACGGTATATTCCTTAAGTTACCATTTCAGTTTCAGATATTGTAGTAGTCGAATTTGTGTCCTAAATAGAAGAAATGCTGAGTTTCCTACTTATTCCCTGAGTAACAGTAGAGTTATCCACATTCACTTGCTGTACAAAATACGGTAAAGGCAATGTATAAATTATATTAGGTATTGACAGTGGAGGTAGGTCGGTGTCCGCTTGACAGGTTAAAAGGTTACACTGATTACTTTATTTGCACATTCTACTGAGAAAATAATCCCTTGAAATCTTTAGCTATGAAGTGCAGGAAGATACGAGGCATAGTTATAGTCAAGGGATGAAACAACAAGTTGACAACAGATAGGATTACCAGAAGAGTAGGTATTTGAAAGTCAGTGAGCTTTCCTGTTGTACTTTATTTAACGTCATGGAGCCGATAATGTAACATTATTTCTTATGTTCATATGTATAGGTAAGGACATACGTTCATCTGCTGGATCACTGCAGCCAAAACTGGTTTGCTGTTGCATCTATTTATGAGAACACGCTTATGGAAATAAAGAGGAAGTCCCCTGAGATTAACGAGGCGTTTGTACGTAGTGATAACGCTGGATGTTATCACTGTGCTCTTTTATTGCTAAGTATTCCCGGTATTAGTCAACGTACAGGTGTAACTACAAGCCGATACGACTTCAGTGAATCAAACAGTGGTAAAGATATATGCGATCGCCATATTTCTCCTTTGAAAAGTCATATACGCCAGTATGTCAATGCAGGAAATGATGTCGAGAAGGCAAAAGATATGAAGAAAGCAATAGATTCTTACTCCGGAGTTAGAGGTTGCCGTGCATCAGTTGTAAAGGTGGACACTTGCGCACAGGATCTGCATAATCACAACTGGAACGGAGTACTGATGTTTTCAAACTTCAAGTTTTGCGCAGACGGAATCAGGATGTGGAAAGCCTTTAATGCTGGAGAAGGAAAGTTCGTTCGTTACGATAAGCTAATGAAGAGAGGCACCAGCCAGGGAAGTACCCGACTGGAGGTCATTGAGCCCTTCACATCCCCGCGTGTGTCGACTGGCTTCTTGTACAAAAATAGCAAAACGACGGAAAACAAAAGTGAACCTTGTGAATTCAGTTGCCCTCAACCAGACTGCATCAAGTTATTCAAAACGACAACAGCGTTGCAAAACCACCAGGACTTTGGCAAGCACATTTTTTGCACCCAAAAGGATTCCACGCATGACAGTATTAAGCGTAAATGGGCTAACGCATGCACCAACCTACGCCCTTCATATATTCCATCTAAAAAGAACCTTGAAGGATTGAGCCAAGAAGAGTGCAGAGAGTACCCCACTGCTGAGCCTGGCTGGGCCTTGAAGAAAAACAAGAAGACCGGGCGATTTTCATAACATGTCAAAGAGTACCTCCTTAAACTGTTTCTTGATGGAGAAGAGACAGGAAATAAGAGCGACCCTGCCGTTGTTGCCTCAAACTTGAAGTCACTTCGTGGACCAGATGGCGTAAAATTGTTTTCTTCTAAAGACTGGCTCAGCGCTCAATAAGTTACATCATACTTTTCACGTCTCGCATCGGTCGCTAAGAGTGGAAAGCTTTCTTTAAACAAGAAGACTGTAATAGAGGAAGAAGATATGCTCGATGTCCTTGTTGAGAGAGGAGAACGAGAGTCCATGCGAGAGAAAGTTTTTCACGTTGTAGACTTATAGAAGGAGCTTAAAAACCGTTGAGAAAAAGATGGGGCAGAGCCGATAAGCAGCTAGATAGGAGATACCTGTTACCAATGCCCGTTACTAGAGAACGCGTGCTCTCTAGGTGCACTTCATATGAATGACAACACATTTTTTTATCAATGAAAACTTTTTGTTGTAAACTAAAAATTTGTCCCATCTCCGCACACGGGGCTCTGCAACTAATTTTCAGGCCCCGGTTGTTCAAACGTTGGTAAGTACTATCCACGGGATAAATCACTATCCAGCAGATAAGTACTAGGGAAAACAATTGCGTTATCCACTGGATAGATTTTTATCCGGTGGATAGAGCTATCCAACGTTTGAACAAGCGGGATCTATTTCTTTCTAAGTTATGTGATATTAGAAGATGTGTTGGCTCTTATACATTGTATACAACGTACAGCTCATTATATCACCTTATAAGGCTATAAAATAAATTTAAAAAAGAGCTTACCCTTTGCCAGACAAAGCAAAAATACGAAATTTGTAAATGGCATCAAAGCAAACCATTTTCTAAAGCACTAAGCAAAAGAACACTTCCCGTTGATTACACAATGGCCTTTATTACCGCAGGTCAGTTTTTCATTGCAGGCGCATGAGCAATATGGCGGAAGAAAGAGCTGTGGTTGATGTGGCCCTCCTGTCGTAATCTTTATGTCCAGAAAAAGATAACCGTTGTCAATTTAAATATCAAAATGGGCATACAGTATTGGCCTTTTCAACAGCACCAAATCTGAGAAATAAGTCGCAGGCTGTGTTTTATCGCACCACTCAGTCCTTCTGAACGGCAATGGAATGTGCACTTTTGGACGGTTTTATGGCAGATATAATCCCGTGGAAACATAACCATGTAAAGAGAAGGTTAGAATCTCCTATTAGGAAGTTTTTCTTGCAACTTCTTTCAAAAGCACCGGGGAAATGTAACCAATCCTCATGAATTGTCGCATTATCGTAAGTCAGTAAAACGATCAGTTTGCAAATGGTGACCAGTAAAACCTCGGTATTTCTCTTAAACTATTGCAATACCCAGAAGTTTTATATACCAGAGCAAAAGAGAATACCTCTGCGTAAATCATCAAGTATTTCACTTTACTTGAAGCTCTGCGAGAACTTTTTTTTTTTTTTTGAAAACTCAAGAAATTTGCATAATTTTTCTCACTAACATATGTCATGTTAAATAATGATTATGTTGTCATCGTTTAAGAGTGTATACTTAGTAGTTTGTGAGAATTTTGTTTCACCTGGATTGCTGAACAATTTGCCAGAAATATTGTCATTCAAAAAATCACAAAATTTGCATATACTTCAGTGTAGATTTGACTGTTCAAGGGTACCCCCCCCTGAAAAAAAGAAACGAAAGAAGCTTGAACAAAACTAATACCATATCTACCTATACTTCACCAAGTTATGCCTATGTGGAAAGTTTGAGCCAATTCTGTGATGTGCACTGTAGCACCTTTTGCATGGTTTTCTCATGGATAGCATCTTAATAGCGGAGCTCTCGCGCGCGAAGCGCGCAGCGGAGCACCATGGGTAAAAAAATGTGGTAAACTACCCATCCGAGAAAATTTGGTAATCACGTGACCGTACACCGACCGCCCGCCCGACCGTCCGTCCGCACCACAGACATACCAATGTAAAATAATTCAATTAACAGGTATGGCAACCCAAATGCAACTCAAGGTTTTATTTGGAAAGAAATCGCATGGCCGCCCGGACTTTTAGAAAGAAAAAACAACAACAAAGTCGTGTCTTTTTCAACGTTAATTTTGATGTTTACACTCACGTGGATAACAGAGAAACTGAGCTAGAGCTAGTTTCTGAGAACAAAAGAGAAGAATTTTGTAGGAAGAAAAACATGAAAATTCAAAGCGGCTCTGAGACAATGAGAAATGCTAGTGGCCAGCAAGGTGAAACTGAGCGGCACTGAAAAATAAAAGCGAACATCAACACAGGAGACAAAATATTGGGTAAGAATTCCTCCATAAAAATAATGTGCAACTAGGAAGTTTGACGTTTAGTCCTACAAAACAGCGTTGTAGTTGTGCAAAACAACGGCAAAGAAGGACGAAAAGCGTGCTGCACGTGCAAATTTTGTTGTTTTGCTAATTAGAAAAAAAAGCGTGCTGCACGTGCAATTTGTTTTTTTGCTAATTAGATCTATTGATGCCATTTCCATTGGCCTCCCCGTTTAGCATTAGACGATTTAATTTTTTTTGTTTACAAGTTTTGTTAACAAGAGCTTCGCTTTTAGCCCTGGCTAAATCTATATATTATAATAGCACGGTCAATCTTCCTGGAGTGATTATGTTGTTCAAAATAAGAGATGCTAGTGGAGAGAGAAATACTTAATTACAGCGAGTAATTTAACGGAACTTACGTTAACCTTAAAAAAAAGTAGTAAGAACGTACTTTTGAAATGTTCTTTTATTCGTTTTATATAGTATTATAGTATTGTTTGTTTAGATTTTTCCCCTGGGGTGGGGGCTTTTTTGACACTTTTGATTGACCTTTCGTTTCCCACCCTGGGAAATTTGATTAAACAATTTTAAAATTTGTCAAATCCCCAGCCCTTGCCCGCACTTCCCCCCCCCCCACGGGGTTTACATTGATAGGTGCATAAGCGTAAAAGTAGAAACTCGTTCAACTTGACGTTTAATCTCAACACTTTATAGCTTACCTCTATTTTATTTACGTGATTAAAACTTACGTGCGTTAACGTGCGGAGCCAAAAACGCGTCAATGGAAATCCACCCTAACGTTACGTACGTGTCACGGATGTGTTCTATACGGACAGCTTCGAACTTGACCGATCCACGCACTCTACTTACAGCGCTTCATGTCCATAGAATAGAAATCCCATATTATGTCGAGCTTTTCCGGAACAGGTTGGTCTAAGAATACTATCGCTTGAAAGTGTTGATTATTTTGGAACAACTAATCGCTTCAGTGGTCGAAAAAAAAAGTAATCTTAATGAGCAAAACTTCAAGGTTTACTGGAAAATCAGGATCGAGGATCGGTTGAAAAGAACTTGAAAATAAAATAAATAAATAAATCGTGGTTCAGTGGTGATGTGGGCCGCAGACTGTAGATAAATTTCACAGAACATAACCCCGTTCGCTGTACTGAACACGAAATTCAAGTAAACTAATCCGAGTCTGTCTGAGTCAGATAGATAGATAGATAGATAGATAGATAGATAGATAGATAGATAGATAACTTTATTTAAACACGGTTAAAATTCCTTCAGCATTTACAAAAAATCTAAGATCTATAATACCTAACTAAACTAACTCTGATTAAAAATATATTCATAAAATTTTAACTACCTAGCTATTTACAAATAAAAGCTGCTTTTCAAGGATGCCGTGTAAAACTGTATTAATGTATGATCTCATTCAAAACTGTTGCGACACAGTTTGCGTTTAAAATCATGTAAAGAATCTGCAGATCTTAAATCATGGGATAGGCTGTTCCACAGCTTAGCTCCGCTATAGGAGAAACTTTTCTTTAAATAATTGGTACGGGGCAGTGGAAGGACAGTGATTGTTTTGACGAGGAAGTGAAATTTTCCTGGAAAATGAAACGCTTTATCCCAGTGATACTGTAACAAAAGAACAATACTTAAACTTAAATGTACATTTGCTTTCAGTACCTTATTTTTCTTGTAATTGTTGTATGCACGACCCCACCAGCAATGCTGATCTTTTAATCGTGCTAAAATAAAGTTCTTATATATCTATGTATCTATGTATGTATCTATGTATGTATGTATGTATCTGTCTATCTAAAATGCATGCTGTGTACAACTCTAAACATTGTACTCTGAGACTGCACGGAGAAATTAAAAGTAGGTACTAAGCAGCTATGGAAAATGTAATTACTTTCACGCGATATTGATATCTTATAAAACGGACAACAAATTCAGCAGGAATACGCGCGAACTGAATGAACAGTGTGTTGTATAAGGTTCTGTTAAACTTACACATTTTTCCTGTGCTGAACATATACTGTACCGAGCCGTATCTTGGTCCGGCACAAAGAAGCTATGTATATTTATACTGACAGAGTCATGTGCCCCTGATACCGATAAAAATCATCGTTCAATTTTTTGAGTGTAAAATCCTAACCTGAGATCAGGCTCTATTTTCGTTTCGCTTTGTAAATAACATTCCGGCGGGCATGGCGAAACGAAAAGAGAGCCTGATACAAACCGTCTACGAAACGTCTGCCGCCCACTTTTTTGATTGATTGACATTTGCCGAATCAGCCAACCAAAATTACTTCCGTTGCTTGTTTTTCTAGTATGCAAATTTTTCACGCGTGGGAAAAATGCAGACTAGCTGACTTAAAAAATAGCTTTCATCTATTAATTTTTTCAGCTAAAAATAAAACAGTCAGCACAATCACATTTAACTTCTTGCGAGATTAGGGGAGATCTCGAAGGTTATTTCTATTGGCGTAGAAGGTAAAAAGTTTTCGAAAAGACGGCGACTACTACTACTAGTTTTATTAGGCGCTCTGGAATTTAAAATACTGAAATCTCTATTTTTCCGTTGTCTTAATATTCTCCTCGGCAATTTCCCCCGATTTTCAGTACATAAATCTTTAAAAACAAAAGCAAACAGCCAACGTGCGAGGACACCAGTTTTCTTGGTTT